TGCCTCAGAAACCCAAGGAGGGGTCACTATGAGTCGGGGCCGACTCAATGGCACATAACAACAACAAACAACATCAGCACTATTTAATTACACCTCTCCCCTGCCTAAATTAAAGGAGTTCTGGTGGCACAGTGGTTAAGTATTCAGCTGCTAACAGAAAGCTCAGCAGTCTGAACCCACCAGCTGCTCCGTGGGAGAAAGATGAGGCAGTCTACTTCCATAAAGATTTACAGCCTTGGAAACCCCATGGGGCAGTTCTACTCTATCCTATAGGGTTGTTATGAGTTGGAATCGACCTAACAGCAATGGTTTTTTGTGTGTCCCCACCCCCAAATTATAAGTTCCTAAAGGGGAGATATCGTGCCTTCTTCCTCTTTGTAGTTCTAGCACACAGCACACACTGTAGGAACTGAATGAAGTTACTAGATGTCTTAGCCATCAAGGACACCTAGCTGCCACTATATAATACTTTTCAGAATGACCCACAGACACACCTAACAGGGAGTTTCCAAACCCTAAGCCACATCAGGCTGCCTGTGAGTCTCTGCACCTCAGTGTCTACTCAGCAATAACCTCAGGCAGAAGCACTGTCTGGGCATACTCGAGTGCTACTCCTAGCTGGCCACTCCTTGGCTATGTGGTATAAGGCAAGACCCTTCCCCTTTCCAGCACAATGAGAGATGTGGGCCATCCTGGGATGTTATGGTTCCAAAAAGCTGCAGTGAAGTCCAATCCCACACTTAGCTCTTGCTCCCATGTGTGCATCAGCTGTCTATGCCTAAAGGAGCTGTCACCAGGCTCATCAGAGGCAGAAGGGGGAGGTCCCCTAGCTTGCTCAAAGTCTAGGATGAATCACAACTGGCAGGGATTATGTGTACCAATACCACCAGGCTGGATGAAAGAAAGCAATCAAGTTTCACCATGAGAGCAAGCCAGATAGTAGTGGACTGCATTTCTCAATCTCAGACTGTTAGACAAGAGGGTGCGTCCATGTATATGCCAGTAATTTTCTTTCCCCCAGAAAAGACAACACGACAGAACTAGTTCTAAGAACTAGTTTCCTAACCTCCCAAAGCTTCAAGATCTGGACACAGGTTAAGTTTCTCCCTCACCCCCAGGATAAGGCCCCACCCCAAGCACAGAAGATGATGTGGCTCTAAAAATCCATTCCAAAAGGGACAAGAGGGCCCTTCCCAGAGCTGGGGCCAGGACAGATTTCTCAAAGGACACTCTGTCCTGGGCAGCCTGCTTGTGTCCATGTGTTTGCATATGGAGAGGATGATGTGCTAATGGAGAATCACCTGAAAGCCAAGAGCCCAGGAGAGACCCAGCAAGTGCTATCTTCCCAAGGGGGCAAACAAACTGTGGCAGAGGCTCTCCTGACAGTCCCTAGGGAAGTCAAGGATATTGATATTGGCTTATGGACAAGTGCCTTCCCAGGCTCCTGGCTACCTGTGACTGCTGTTTGCTAGCCCAGGTCCCTGAGACTCCCCAGTACCCACCTCTACATCAGTCTTCCCTCTTAAACAAATGAAGGGGATCCCCTCAAAGCACAGCTGGGTAAGAGGGGCCTCAGTATAAGCAGTAGTTACCTCTCACGCAGCCTGAGGGGACTGCCCGCTAAGCCCCTCAGGCCAGCCCTTCCTCCCCTAACTCGTTCAACCTGAAGGGCTGCCCACCTTCACTCCACCCCTCCCCGGGCAGGCAATACCACAGCTGATCAAGTCACATTGAGCTGCTGCCAAATCTGAGCAGAGATAAACATTCCAGGAAAAGAAACGCAAGGCTGCTGCTCCTCCCAGGCTGACTAGATCTCTAACAAACACCAAGGCTGCCAGAATGGAGTCTCACTGCCAGGGTCAGCAGAGTGAATGCTGCCCAGCCCTCTGAGAGGCCTGGGACAAGGCTGGGGAATGGGCAGTGCCTGCAGGCCTGCCCTACCCTGAAGAACTCCCTGGGAAAAGATGTAGGGATCCTCAGGAAAGGCCCACACTAGAGGCCTCACACCATCTCATATGGGTGATAGGTCAGAGTCTGCTATGTCGCACTGATAGTACAGACAGAGGCAGGATTCAAGCCTGTCTATTTCAGGTCTAAGGTCCCCAGGTGGCACAGACATTTTGTGTTCAACTAGCCAAAAGGTTAAGGAGTTCTGGTGGTGTAATGGTTAAGGCATTTGGCCACTAACCAAAAGGTCAGTGGTTCGAACCCATCAGCTGCTCCATGGAAGAAAAATGGGGCAATGTGCTTCTGTAAAGATTTACAGCCTTGGACACCCAATAGGGGTCACTACGAGTCAGAATCAACTTGATGGCAGTGAGTTTGGTTTAATCAAAAGGTTGGTGGTTCAAACCTACTCAGCAGTGCCATGGAAGAAAGGTCTGGCAATCTACTCTGTAAAAATTATAGCCAAGAAAATCCTATGGAGCAGTTCTACTCTGTAACACATAGAGTCACCATGAGTCTAAACCAATTCAATGGCCAACCCATCAACCGACTAGTGACCCATCAGCAGCCCTGTCTGATGCCAGTCTCCTCCAGAAATGGGCAGGTTTTCATTCATCACCTACTAACTCGGAAACCCAAGGAGGGGTCACTATGAGTCAGGTCCAACTCTACAGCACATAACAACAACAGCTGAGAGAGGGGTCAAAGCATGTGGTCTGGGTCCTTGGTCACTAGAAAATAGAGTCAAGTCAGGGAAAGAAACTGCAAGTAGTGAAAAGGCCACAACTCTAAACCCCACGTATGCTTTCCCTACCAACCTCAAAACCAACCCACAAGGGTTCTGCCTGACACCTGCCCAGTCGAACAGATGGGCTCCATTCCCACTACCAACACCCACACCCCCCGCAGAGAGACTTTCTGATTTCTCAAGGCCCTCTCCTAGTCAGGAACTTCCACTCTGATAGCTGCACCCAACCACTTAAAGCTAAGTACGCAATTAAAATGAAGAAAAGCCCTCCACCCTCACTTTCTAGGGTTGCCTCAGCAGCAACCTAAGCGTCTTGGTCCCATGCACAGCACGTGAAGACAGCCAAGCTAGAGAAGGCCCAGGGCCTCTCTGCCAGCCCTCCAAAACATTATCTCTCAGGAAGTGCTTTCCAGCTCTCAGCATGACAATTCAGAGTTAATTGAAAAACACCAGTAACCAGTGAGGAGCTAGCAGATCACTAGCAACTCAGTTACAAAACAAAATAAAGCACCATTTAGAAAACCCTACACTTTAAACGCCAATCTAATGAACTTTAGTGTAATTCTCTTTAATTTACTATCATTTAGCTTTCTGCACAACGTCCAGGGAACAATTAAAAACAAACAAAAGCACAAAACCTGGCCTCTCTGTGGTTTGAGGACTCACTCTCTTCTGCTTTCTCTCTGCTCCTCAGAGTCATCTCTGTGGGAATCTGAGAAAATGGAACTTCAAGCTCTCAAGCAAATACTGGATTATTATTATTATTAGGCACCAAGTACGAATACTTACTGTATGCCATATATTTATGGTACATAATCTCACTTAGTCTTAAAAATAACCTTATAGGTAAGTATGAACAACCCCATTTTTACACATAAAAGAAGAAGCTCTGAAAAATTCTGTAACGTCAGACACTTAGCAGCAGAGCAAAGATTCCATATTTCATTTTATAGGACCATACTATTCCCAGACTAAGTTCAAAAGAATTTCCTTTTCTGCTTTAAAAAAAAAAAAGTCCCCCTCATTAACACAAGTTATGTCTGACCAATTCCAAGAGGTTCCTCCCAAACTTGATATGAAAATAATGAAGTAATTATTGGAGAAATTGAGCAAGAGAATGTAGGAGGCCTGCTTTACCAAGGCTCTGCAGGCAAGTGACAGAGCTCCGCCTGCCAGGGCTTCTCTCTCAGAATAACATTCTCTAAACCTTGGCATTAGAAATAAATGGCCACCTGTCTGGTAACCCTGGAGCAACCTGTAGCTACCTTGAGCTGAGCGTTTGTGGGTTACTGGGCAAGGAGAAGTCTGGACGCGAGCTCCATCAACCTCCTGACCTAAGGAATACAAACCCACCCACCCTTACAGCCTTTGCTGAAATAAAGGTTGGGGCCAGAGTTCAGGGATTCCAGGCTGCTCCCAGGAAAGGGCAATCTGGTGTAAATGTTTATATTTTAGCTTTCCAGTCCCCAGGGTACACACATTATACATGTGTATACATGCACGCATGCGCGTGCACACACATATATACACACACAGTGTCTTTGCCCCAAGGAGGGCCCTGCTTACTTAGGTTTAGGGCCCTACATGGACAGGAAGCAGGGGAGAAGGCCCTAAAGCAGGGATCTCTACACAGAAGAGTAACTGAACACAATGTGACAATTTATCGAGGACTTACCTTCATTAATGGTAACTCTTATTTACATTGCTTCATTTAATCTTTCCAAACAATCCCCTTGAAATAGGTCTCATTTATTTTCTCGTCAGGAGGTGAGAAACTAGAGTGTTAGAGAAGTTAAGTCACTTGCCCAAAGGCTCAACAGAAAAGTTAACCTACTCAGGAGAGAGTGGCTTTATGGGAAGACGGATGTGAACTGGGAGGCCAGCTCCCTTCCCCACTAAGGGCCTCATCGCCAGGCCCCCCAAAAGGAGGAGGGTTACTCTGAGCTGCCTCGAGATTCCTACCAGAGTTAGCAGGGCGCAGGCTGCTCCAAACCCTAAGCAGATAACAAATTCCAAAACTTCCTGAGGCTTGGCCCAGAGCATGGATGTCTCCAAAGCCTTCTCTGGTTCTGTGGTCAGGGGCTTCACCGGCCCCTCCCCAGCTTGCAACAAGAATCCCAAAGGACTAACTTCCCAATTCTCTCCTCCATCCAGCCCGTAACTTCTGTTCGGGATTAGGGATTCTGCTCCTAAATAGGGAGGCAGGCTGTTGTGGAACAGGGCATGGGGACGTTCCGTGGGGCCCGGTCGGGGAACTCCCAGGGGAGACCCAGCCCCCTGGACTGGCGGGGACCTGAGTGCTCACCGAGCAGAGGTGACTCCTCAGGGCAGGCAGGCAGCGACAGTGCTGTGGTGGGGGACACGGGGGCCGCAGTCAAGTTGCTCGCGGGGCCGGGGCCGCGACCGGGGCGCGGCTCGGAGAAGGCGCCTGAAGGCAGTGGTGGCGGGGCCCCTCGGGGCCGCAGTTCCCCGGAGGACTGCCCGAGGGCGGCAGCGCCGCTCGAGCCCCCCTGCAGCGTTGAGGGGACTCCGATCAGCTGGGGCAGGCGACTCAGGTCACGGCCGGACAGGTAATAGACGAGGGTGACGCCGAGGTGCAGCGCGCAGACGGCCACGAGTAGGCGGCAGGCCCGTTGCAGGGACGCGCCCGGCATCGCGGCGCTGCCGCCCAGAAGAGGCTCCCGAAACCTCATCTTCCCGCCGCCGCCGCCTCAAGAGGGGTGGGCTATCTGTGGGGAGGGCGGCCCGCCCGCGGGCCGCCGG